TAGCAAAAAGCACAAATGCAAACCGTCAAAGTGAGCCAAAAGATTGTCAAACTGCTGGGGTGAAGAGTTTTTAAAGGAGAGGTGGCATGAGGGGATTGGCTAAAAATGGTATGGAGTTATAGAGCAGGAACCATTCAGGATGAAGCAGTAACGGGATTGGTTGCAGCATTGAACAGTAAAACAGCCGACCAGGGAAATCAGTAGGCAGGACAAGTAATGAAGTGAACTGGAGTGGTAGCAAGAAAAACACAATGAGACACACAAAAAGAAATACATAAATACGTGTTGGCATGTAACAACTGGGTCTAGAAGAGTTTTAGAGTCAGAGTTTGGTGTAATTAGTTCCAAAGTAATGAGCTACTGTAATTAATTAGTTTTCTATATGGATTTTAAGTAGTATTGAGTCAAGTAATTCAGTTCATTTTTGAGTAATTAAATTACATTTTGACTAAGAACTTAGAAAATTAATAAAAATATAATTTTTATTAAAAACTTTGAAGTAACTTACTCAACGCAGCACAGGCAACATTGAAGTATTCTCTCTCCTCATAGTGTCTGTCTTTCCCACACAGTGTCTCTTTTCACTTTTTTATCGAGTGTCTGGTCACAGATCCAATCTCCTGCTTTAATTCCTTCATCTTGTCTTTCATTTTTGGGCGAGTGTTCCTTAACTGGGTTTCATGTCCCTCTGACCCTTCATCTTACCCAGGGCTACACTGAGGATCTACAGACACTTCTTTAATAGAGCTGTAAAATATTGAAAACTTCCATTAGGGACACTAAACTTTCCGAATCCCACTCTCTTTTGTCCTCTCAGTCTGTAATTTTTTATATTCTTCTTACATTAAAAACCCGACAGCCAAATTATCTGGCATTAACCCAGCATATGTGATTCTCTTTATTATTAGTGGCAATGCCTATTAGCGTACAGCAGTATAGAATATTTATTTGTACTCTTCCGCTGATTCAAACAAAAAAGCACAAAGATTTTTTTTTTGGGGTCAGTGTAAAGAAAACATCTCATTAGTGTGGAAACACTGTACCTCATTAATGTGTAAAGTTTTTCACCACCTCACAGTATGGAGTCCAGTCTTCCATGTCGATCGAGATGGAATTAGACATTTTGAGCATGCTTTCGGCTGGCAGATGGTTGATAAATGAGAGCATCAGGCCTGTGTTACTCTCACACCGCATGACCGTGAAGAAGCTTGTCGTGATTTTCCGAGCCGCAGAACGTTGCTGAGATTATACTCGTCCATCAGCGAAGCTCCCAGAGAGATACTCAAACCCTGCATCTCATCCCAGCAGAGCTAGGTTCAGAATACATATAGCATGAGGGAAATTCTCATTTCTTTTCTTCATCGTTTAAAGGTGAAGCAATTCCTGTGGCATCAAACGTAATTGCAGAAATAATTGCTTCCAAGCAAGGCTTAATTTTAGTTGTTTCTGCACCTTTATTCACTTGCTGTGAATAAAAGATGATTCGTTTCTCTATTATTTATTTATTTATTTATTTTTTGGTTTGTGAATTTAAACTATTGAAGGAAAGTAGTCACACAATTTCTCGCTAATAACAATCCGATAACTAAGACTTTTAGCTCAATAAACTTCTAGTTTTCTTATATTAATAGTTAATAGTATCCTCTGTGTATGGAATGAGCTACATGTAGAATCTGTACCATCAATCACTCTATTCAAACATATTTTAGTCTGTCTTTTTAGCAGAGTGTACGTTTTAAAAATGTATTATGCTTAATATTATTTTTGTGTTCTATGTGTTTTGTGTCATGTTTTTTTTTTTTTTTTTTTTTTTTTTAACGAAAGCGAGGCTGCAGTGGGAAGAAACCCGAAAGTATAGGATCAGCACTGTAAACATTGCTTTTGCCACAATTTTAAATGCAGATATGGTGTAACATTACTTCATCAAATTCAGTTAAGTTTAATTTAAACAATTTAAAGCATATAAGGCATCAAACTAAATTATAATCTCTTTAAGAGTAATACGCTTAAGTGTCCTCCCAGGCTTCAGTTCATGGCACCAGGTAAACATCGTGGAGACGCTTCCCTGCTTTAGCCTATGTAACCTGGTGAGGGATAAAGCATTGCAGTCCTCTGTAGCAGTCTGTAATAGTGTTGTCCTGGTAATGAAATTTAAAAAATGTGAATTTCCCGCTAACATTTAAGCGCTGTTGAGTTTGTTCTAAAACACAGCTAATTTGCATTAGTAGTGTTCATACATAGTATTTACCAGTGCTCAACAGAAATGACTGTGATTGGCTGTGAAGGTCATAAGTTCAGGTCATCAGCGCTGTTTAAGAATGCGCTTAACCGTGCTTCAATGTTAGCGGGAAATTGGTGGTAGTTTTACCAGAATTCTGTATCGTGACAAGTCTAATAGGTAACACTTTATTTTGATGGTCCATTTGAGTATTAGTAGACTGTCTGCTTAATATCTGTTGATATGCTCTTTCAGCAGACATTTAACTGACTATAAGAAACTTTGCAAGTATATGTCAACCTACACTAACCCTAACCCCAACCTAACAGTCTACTTATACTCTAATGAGAATTAGTTGGCATGAAGACGCAATGTAACTTAAATTCAACAAACGGTACATCAAAATAAAGTGTGACCATCTAATATAGTGAAAGAATCAGTTCATTAACTTGATTATGATGAAAGGTATTTAAAACGTGTGTTTGGGAAAGATGACCAGTGGTGTAAAGTAACTAATTACAAATACTCAAATTACTGTAATTAATAACTTTTTCTCAGGAATTGTAATTTACTGAGCAGTTTTAAAAATGTGTACTTTTACTTGAGTACATTTTTAGTGCAGTATCTGTACTGTTACTCCACTACCTTACTTCAACCTGCAGTCACTACTTTATTTTTTCTTGTCTTTGGGGATTAGAAAAATCAGTTCTGTGATTCCTGTCCAATCAAATCACACATAGAAGGTAAATCGCCTCATAATGAACTACCTCAAGACATGCGCAATTTATAAATGCAGCAAACTGTTTGGAAGCATTAAAAGTGTCCAAGAAGACGTCCTAAATCAATATCAGTATTTGATGTCAATAGGATGTTGGTTTAAGATGTTGGCACGACATTGGATTTTGGTCACTTTCTAACACAACCTAAAATCAACCAAATATCAATGTTATTTAACGTTGTTATTAGACATCAAAATAATGTTATCCTTAGATGCTGGCTAGACATTGAATTTTGGTCACTTGACACCACAACCTAAATCTAACCTAATATTAATGTCCTAAGACGTTGTATGCCTGCTAGGCAATAACTACATGCACTACAGAATGTTACGTTTACACACATCCACAAATTACATGTAAGCGCATCAGCTTTTCGCAGCGTAATACTCACTACTCACTACTCATGAGTACTTTTAAAAGGGCTACTTTTTACTCCTACTTTGAGTAATATTTACAACAGATACTTTTACTGTACTTGCACTACATTTTTAGGCAAGTAATGGTACTTTTACTTGAGTATGATTTTTCAGTACTCCTTCCACCTCTGAAGATGACATTTGCTAACTAGTGCCATTTCCCTTAACTTAATAATAAGTAAATGAGGTCTGATATCACTTTATTTTTTTTTTTACCATCCATTCAGAACAGACCTTCGGGCCACTCAGAAGGTGGTTAATTGATAAATTTGTGTCACTTTCTCTTCGCTCATAAGATATTCAGCAAGATACACAACGCACAGTGTCACTTCAGGTGATACTTCCAGGTTTCTTCCCACTGCAACCTCGATTTAATTTTTAAAATGGCGGCAGCATGAAATCAGTCTATTGGGTTTAGTATTGGGTAGGATTAGGGATGCAAAATAAGATCATATGTTGTAGGTACTAGTAAAAAGCCAATATCTTATTCATAGGCAGGTAATAATCCAGGAGATAATAGTGGAAGTTGTTACTTAAAGTAATGTCTTGTCATATACAGTTGAAGTCAAAATTATTAGCCCCCCTGTTTAATTTTTCTTCTGTTTAACGGAGAGAAGACCTTTTCAACACATTTTTACACATAATAGTTTTAATAGCTCATTTCCAATAACTGATTTATTTTATCTTTGCCATGAAGACAGTCAATATTATTTTACTTAATATCTTCAAGACACTTCTATACAGGTTAAAGGCTTAACTATGTAAATTAGGTTAACTGGGTAGCTTAGGATAATTAGACTAGTTATAATGATGTATAATGATGGTTTGTTCTGTGGACAATCGAAAAAAATGCTTAAAGGGGCTAATATTAATAATAAATTTTGTCCCTAAAATGTTTTTTTTATTATTAAAAACAGCTTTTATTCTAGCCGAAATAAAACAAATAAGTTTTTCTCCAGAAGAAAAAATATTATCAGACATACTGTGAAAATGTCCTTGCTCTGTTAAACATCATTTGGGAAATATTTAAAAAAAGAAAAAAAAAAAAGTTCAAAAGGCGGCTAATAATTTTGACTTCAACCGTATATGTTTAAATACTTATGTTGCATTTCTTTCTTTTCTTTAATTACTTCTATTGTCCTCATTTTTAAGTTGTACATGACTGCAAAATCATTAAATGTAAAGAAAACAGTAGGAAAGAGGAGGAAACAAACCAGAAAAAGAAACCAAGTAAATTGGACAGAAAAGAAAAAATAAGGCAGAGAAAGGGGACCGATAAAGGACTTCAACGTTATATATTACACATATACCTTTTAAAAGATGATATGGTTCTCTCTTATACTCTTTCTATTTCCCCCATGGCTCTTCATCGTCACCTGTGAACAGTATAGTGGAATTACTGGCTCAGAATAACCACATATTCGGTACAAAGGAAGTCCTTTAAAATACTGTCAGGCTCTTGAGAGAGTCTTTGTCTGAAAACTGAGAGCTCAAGATTCTCATCCTTAACCTATGTCTGCAAAGTAAAGTAACTTTGTGTCTCTCTCCTCTGTCTCTTTCTCTCTTCCTGTCGTCCCGGTCTCACAGGGTTCTCTGCTGTATGGCAGTGGGGGGGACAGCGCAGAAAACTCTTCTGACAAGCAGCAGGACGAGGGCAAGCTCATTAAAGGTAAGGCAACTCTATGCTCCATGATCGAGCCCCCACCACCTGACCTCAGAACATCCTTGTCAGCCACATTGACATTTCAGGGTGCCCTCATTCACCCACATAACGATGCAGTTCCATGTCTCTGTCAGTTAATTAATGCTGTTGTGTGAAGACCATTTCACCCAGAATTTAAAAAATGGTGAGAGGACTTCTGTATAACCAACAATGTAAATTTAGATTATCTATCAGGCTTGACTGTAACGATCATGTTTTTGACCATAATGACAGTAACTGTGCAGTAGATTTGTGCTAATTGTGAAAGGTTAACGATGTTACTAAATTAAATCTGTCCTCTTGCCAGCGTCCTTTGCACCCATCTGCTTCGCTATTAAGTCAAAAGAAAACGATCTTCTGCCTTTGGAGAAGAACCGTGTGAGGCTGGATGATGACTCTGATGAGGATGCGATTAAGGGGGATGTGCTGGAGGGAATGGAGCTGGCCATTGGATTGCTTGAGGCGCCAAGAGAGGTTCCTCAACCTCCACTGGCTGAGGAGAAGAAGCCAGTCCTGTCACAGGAAGAGCTGGAGGCCAAACAAGGTACGTGAAGTGATTCATTAAAAGTATAATTCACACCCGATGAATGTCATGCTATGTTTTTATCTACTTGTTCGCCAAACCACTGTGGTGCTTTAAAAATGACTTTTTAAAGGCACTCGTTGTTTGTTGAAGTTTGAAGTATGAAGATTAGCTAAAACTTAAATGGTTTAAAAATGATACTCAAAGGACAAGCCACAAACAGGTATGAACAACACTCAAAGGACAGGGAAGGAGGGAGGGAATTAAAGAAGAATGAAGAAAATAAATTAAATCAAAGGACAAGCAGCAGGAAGAAAGAATGAACTCTTAAAATACATGAGGGAAGGAAGGATGGAGGTGTGGAAGGAGGCAAGGAAGGATGGTCAGGTGGACAATAAAAGGACAATAATGAAGAAAAGATGTTCAATCAAAGGACAAGCAACTGGAAGTATGAACACTTAAAAGACATAGAAGGAAGGAGGGAATGAACAAACGAATGAACAAATGAACGACAGACAATAACAGGACAACAATGAAGAAAAGAAATTCAATCAAAGGACAAGCAACTGGATGTATGAGCACTCAAAAGACATGGAAGGAAGGAAGGAAGGAAGGAAAGGAAGGAAGGAAGGAAGGAAGGAAAGGAAGGAAGGAAGGAAGGAAGGAAGGAAGGAAGGAAGGAATGACAGACAATAACAGGGCAACAATGAAGAAAAGAAATTTAATCTAAGGGCTAGCAACTGGAAGAAAGTATGAACACTGAAAAGACATGAACAGAGAAGGACGAAATGACAAATGAAGAAAGGAAGGAAGGAAGTAGGGATGGAAGGAAGGAAGAACATACAATAAAAGGATAACAATGAAGAAAAAATTCAATCAAAGGGCAAGCAACTGGAAGAAAGTATGAACACTTACAAGACATAAACAGGGAAGGAAGAAAGGACAATGATGGACAAATAAAAATTAAAAAAATAAAATAATAAAAAATAAAAATTAATAAAATAGATTCAAACAAAGGACAAGCAACAGGAAGAAAGAATTAACTCTCAAAAGAAATGAACGGAAGGAAGGAAAGAAGGAAGGAAGAAAGGAAGGAAGGATTACAAAAATAAAAATGAGGACAATCAAAGGACAAGCTACAAACAGGTAGGAAGAAGGAACACTCAATGGACAACAGGAAAGGTAGGAAATGCAAAGGTTAAAAACTTGAGGGAACAAAGCTAAGGAAGGACAAACAAAGTCTAAAAAGAAGGGAGGTAAGTACAAGCATAATACAAGAGCAGGAAATATAAAATAACGAAAAGAAAGGGGAAGCTATAGGAATAGATGGAATGAAAGAAATAAGGATGGCATGAATGAATGAAAAAGAAAAGGAACTGGAGTGAAGGATTACAAGCAGGAACAATGGACATAAAAGAGAAATGAATGACAGGAAGAAGGCAGAGATGAAGTTTAGGAAGAAGGATCAAGAAACAAAGATCGGAATGAGAGATGGAAGGAATAACATCAATGAATAGGAAGTTGAGAATGAAGGCTGGTATGAAGCAACAGGGATAGATATAGAAAGGAATAGGAGGAAATGAAGAATGGGAATGAAAGGCATGGCTAGAACGAATGGCTAGAGCTATTTTTTCAGAATGATGTAATATGTCGATGTGCTTGAAAGAACACTGTTCGTTTTTGAACTGTCCCTTTAAAGGCACTAGGCTCTGTTCTGGATTATTGTCCATCATTTTAAATGCCAGCCGTATTAGCATATTTTAGCTTTGAATCAATGTCTGGAGAGTTCAAAAGTTAAGTTTCGTAAGTGAATCCTAATTGAAATAATTCCTTGCCCGCCGTTTTCAAGGCTGTTCTTTTGTAAGTGTTCAGAAAAATACTTCAAACCGAAGAGATGAGTCATTTTGTTGAAGTGTAATGAAAATAACTAATGCTGATTTCCTTCACTGTAATTCTTGCAGCCCACATGCAATATGTCACTGACCAGAACGCTTAAAAGTCAGTCTTTTACACTAACAAGATAAAAAGTATAGAGGAACAAACTGGTTTATCATGATCGCACAAAGCTGAGAGTTACCGGATTTTTGCTGCACTCCTTCATTGTTCTTTTGACCCCTAAGGATTTAAAATAGTGAGCTGATCTGATCGCCGTCACATCTCGATGACTGACAGTGCATTAAATTACTCCAGCGAGGTCCAGGCTTGTAATGTAATAGATCTGTCCATACGGGCCGTGCTCACCGGCGGCAGTAACTGTCCTCTGTAATTAAGAGGGAGTGTTCCACACGGTTAAAACAAGAAGGACACCACTCAATCAAAGATACCGACAGTGTCTGTGCAGGAAACCTGAAGGTGTGCGGGAGAAATTCTAAATATGATTTTGGCTAAAATCTTCTGAAAATCTAGCTTTACTACCATTAAAGAGACAGTTCACCCAAAAACAAAAATGTACTCACTGTTTACTCTGCCTCAAGTGGTTTTTAAAATGTTTTTCATAATGTTTTTCAAAAGAAGATACTGAGAAAAAAAAATCCATAGTAGGAAAAACAAATACTGTGAAAGTCTTTACTGTTTACTGGTTTTCAGCATTTTTCAAAGTATTTTCTTTTGTGGTCAACAGAAAGAAAGTAACTGAACTATGTTTGTGACAATTAAATTTGAAGTAAATTTGTAGAATAATTATCAGTTTTGTGTAAAAAAACATTTTAAAATCATGTGAAATTCAAACTGTCGTGTATTCACATTTGTTTGCTAATTTAGAAAAAAAGTAATTTTGAAACATTACAATTAAAAAGTTACATTTATTTGATTGAAACTAAATTAAATTTCAGCAGTAATTACTCCAGTGTTACTTGATCCTTTGAATGCTCTGGAAATAGTTTTGAACAGTTTTAAACACACTGGATTCATGTTGCGTTTTTGCAGAATCATTTTTCTGATATGATGATCTTCATAGTTCACTTTCTTCCATTTAACAGAAAATAAGTTTATTTTTTATTTTTATTATTTTTTTAATAATAAACTGTTGATTTGAGATTGTTAGAAAAACCTTGATATGCTTCTTTAATTTACTACACAAAGCACATTTGAATTCTTATGGCTTGACATTATTTTAGAATTATGTGTGAATTTAAATGTATTTAATATTTCTTATATTTTGGGCAAAAGCAATAGCCAGAAGTACATTCAAATGTATAATTTTTTATGCATTTGGAAGTTAAGTAGAGTCCATGTTCCATAAAGATATATTTTTTTTAAATCTACTGTAAATGTCAAAACTAAATTGTTGCTCAATTATGGCTAAGCACTTTATTGAGACAGCATTTAAAACTATTTTCTCAGTGTTTACATTTGTATTCTTTTTTCTTACATGTTTTTACTTCGGCCAGTATCTTAAAAAAATTGTGCATCAATGAAAACTTATTTATTCAGCTTACAGGTGATATATAAAACTTAATGTTCAAGTGAAGTTTCATAAACTAATTTCGAGAGGAGCACGTGATATGATTGTGCACCGCTGGCCACTCATCCGTAATTAGTAATAATCCAATCAGAATGATCCTAGCTTAATATAAATGGATCATTTTCTCCTTATTGCACTATCTTCGTTTTGGAAGAATCCCCCCTTCCACCCCATCTCCTCCTTTTTCTCCCCTTCTAAAGGGGGAGCGATCGAGACCTACCTGATCTCGGTTCTCCTGATATGCTTCTAGACCGGGCGGGAGCCCTGGGCTCAAATATCTCTGAGCTCAGGGTTCTCTCCCGTGACAGCATGCCAAACCTGCTATAAGTGCCAAGCATATCTAAGTGGGAACTCTTGAAACATGTTTTGATGTATAAAGTCACATTTTTATTTTTGCAAATGTTATTGAAACACATTTTCTTACACACAGGCACTTCACATCCATTTAATGTTCTTCATATGTAAATTGCTTATCATTAATAAGTACAACCCCTTTTGAAAGTGAATATTTTAAAAATAGCCAGTAGTTTTTAATGCATTTTAACAAAACCATTTTTATTAAACTGTTATATCCTTTTGAATAATAGTTTGGTCACCTAACATCTTTAGCAAGACAAAGATAATACATTTTAAAGTCAAGCAAGTTATAGCAAAATAAAAACCTAAATGTTAAACTAAATTTTCTATTTTGTATTTTTCTCCTGATTTTTTTTCTGTTAAATAAAATTTTATTAAATAAATATCAATAAATTAAATAGTAAAATAAAATATTTATAAAATAATAAGTTTATTATTTGTTAGGTTAGCTCTAATTTTGGCTTTGGTACTGACTAGTCTAAAGTACAGTTGTTCTAAAGTTAGAATTATTAACCCCCCTTTTATTTTATTATTTTTTTTTATTTGTTTTAAATAATTCCCAGATGATGTGTACCAGAGCCATTTTTTACAGTATTTCCGCTAATATTTTTTCTTCTGGATAGTGTTATTTGTTTTAAAGTTAAATGAAATTACTTTTTATAAAGCCATTTTAAGGTCAAAATAATTAGCCCTCTTAAGCTATATATAATTTGATCGTCTACAGAACAAATCATCAATGATTTATACAGTGATTTGCCTAATTACCCTAACCTGCCTAGTTAACCTAATTAACCTAGTTAAACCTTTAAATGTCACTTTAAGCTGAATACTACTGTCTTTCAAGTGCCTTGAAATATCTAGAAAAATATTATTTACTGTCATCATGGCAAAGATAAAAAAAAAAAATACAGTTATTATAAAAAAGTTATTAAAACTATTATGTTTAAAATGTGTTGAAAAAATCTCAACACATTAAGTAAATTGAAATAGAACAATAAACAGAAATTGGGAGGCTAATACTTTAGACTTATGCTGTATATGTATACGCAATATATTACTAAAATAATTTTTTTAATATTAAATTAAAAGTGTGATCTGTAGGGGGAATACTCATATACGCTAAACTCTGTATATAAAATCAATATATATATATATATAAAATTTCATGCATAAAACGGGACATCTTGTCTTTGACCCAAGTAACATAGAACATATACCATATTGACCGCTTTTATGCCACAACCCTAGTGCTCATTTACTTTCATTATACCAAAATTGGTTGAGCTGCGGTATTCAATATTTCATATGCTTCAGAAGACAGAATGTCATACGAGTTTAGAATGACACAAGGGTGAGTAAATGATGACAAATATTCATTTTGTGGTGAATCGTTTGTTTGGAGATGCACATTTTGTTGTAACATGCAGCTTTTGCATCAGTTTTCTCGTTTCCCATTAAAAGTGAATTTGTTTAAAGCTTATCACTGACACCGGACTGCGCAAATGGCAGACACTTCGGCCGAGCTGTAATGCTCCTGGAACATGGGGGTAATTACAGTAATAAGACCAGATGCCCAAAGGAAGTTTACTGCACGAGGAAGTGAAATAAACGGCACTGCAGCAAAGAAGGCCTCACTCACTGGCAAACTAGCTTTTAGATTGCATAGCTATCGACCCATCCGGAGGAACATAATCTGTATTGATGAACTGTTAAAGAATCACAGATGCAGCCGAGGGTTGGTCTGTTTTCACGTGTCCATCTATTACCTTCGGTTTATTTACTGAATGAAGTGAATTTGCGTGATTGTGAGTGAGTTTTATTGGGTTCGTCTCTCTGCTGTCTCTTGTGGTTATGTGGGCACATGAAGTATTTACGCCCTTTGTGTTTTTCTTCACATTCACCTGTTTACTTTGCAAATTGTAATTTTAAAATCAAACCTCAAAAGGTAAGCCTTATTGGATTTTGTCAAAATGTGATTTGCCGCCTCAATTGCGCATTGACTTCTGAAGTGTACAGATGAGAAATTATGCGAGAGAAGGGGGAAATTTGCAGGAAAACGCAGAAAAAAATGACTGGAGTCATTGCTTTTTAGAAGCTCCACAAGCAAATTACAGGTGTTAAGTGCTGCGGGTTGCATTGAAAAGGCTTTGTCACGTGTATAAAGTTATTGCAGTCTTTTATCTAGGGATAAGCACGAGTGCTTTGAAAAGACAGGAGCGATCAATAATAAATAAATTAATTACATGTGACTTGATTGGTTTGCAACTTTAATGCATTTTAAACCAGTCTGAGTCTATTGACCTTTTTTCTTTACTGTCGTAAATGATGGAAACTTATTGGCTTGAGATTTCAGTTTTCTTACACTTTCACTGTCATTAAAGCAGTTTATGCTGAATGATGTTGCAAACTTGTGTTTTATTTTTTTTTATTTGTATACATTGTCAAATAAAATTGTTTGTAGGGCAAATAGTTTGACTGTTTTCTGCCATGTATTATTCTTATAGACATTTCCCCCATAAGTAAATTAATCGACAGTTTGAAAACAATCATAGAAAATAGATTAATTCTGTGTTGAAGATTGAGGTCATTATGTAAACACGGCAAAATGATGCTAAATTTTTAACTTTGTACTTTTTGGTGTGCTTTAGCTGGTACTACTGAAGGAAAAAGCAATTATTTACTTGCAATGTAGACATTGTAATAGTGCTACACAATATTGGAAAAATCGGATTGTTATTGTGATATTTTACTTTTCTACGATAAATATAGCGATATGAATACACTTTCACAAGAGCATTTAAATAGCGCTATATTTAATGGTTGTCTGGGGAGCCAAACAGTATTAAGGTACAGTAGTTGAATGATTACAATGCAAATAAAATTGTCTTGTTTATAGACCAGATATCTAAAATTTCTTAGATCAAGTAAAAATATTGTTTCGTTTTCAATCTTAGAAGAAATAAGTGTAAAGTAAGAGTTTTTCTCTAAATGGAAATTTTATGGGCGTCATGGTGGTGGGTAGCACGCCTTACAGCAAGAAGGTCTCTGGTTCGAGTCCCAGCTTGGCCAGTTGGCATTTCTGTGAGGAGTTTGCATGTTCTTCCCATGTTCACATGGGTTTCCTTTGAGTGCTCCAGTTTCCCCCACAATCCAAAGGCATGCGCTATATAGTAGGTGAATTGAATAAACCAAATTGGCCGTAGTGTAATGGTGTGAATTTAAGAGTGTATGGGTGTTTCCCAGTGTTGGGTTGCAACTGGAAGGGCATCCACAGCTTAAAACATATGCTGGATAAGTTGGCGGTTCATTCCACTGTGGCGACCCCTGATTAATAAAGGGTCTAAGCCGAAAAGAAAATTAATGAATGGATATGGATATTTAGACTAGAAACAAGGCAAAAAATTATAAGTGACAAACACTTTCTTTTTTATTTTTGCACAATTCCTATAAATTTCATTTTAATGCAGTAATTAAATACAATTCTTCAGCTGCTATAATTTAGACTGAAATTACATATATTGCGATGTGACTATTGCGGATGCACACATTGCAATATTAATGTTGATATGATATATTGTGCAGTCCTACATTGTATAGTTTGTTAGCTTTTCTTTTAATATTTTAATGTCTTTTTTTATGGAAATGGAAACAAGTTTCTCTATATATACTGGATTTACTAGGTGTGTTGGATTAATTCTGTTTTATCAGAATTATAGCTAAAAATGTTATTTATATTGGTTATATTGGGTATTCCACAAAACATTGTTTGCCTACTTTAAATACAGGTATTTGAAGTTAAACATTGAATTTAATTTTAGACAAATTGTCATTTCATGCTTTAAATATGTTTTTATTCATTTTGAATAGAAAAAATGTCATCTATAGTCTACATTTACAAGTAGTCATTTAGCAGATACTTTTGTCCAAACAGCTTAAAATTGAAGAGGCATTCGGTGATTCAACAAGAAGAGGCAATACACACAAGAAGTGCCAATTACTGTACACAAAGGAACTGTTAGTGCTCAGAGAGTTAGGTGCTAGAGTTTGAAAAGATAGAGAAAGAAGAGTGTTTATACAGGTGGTTTATCAAGACCCTCACCTGTGTGAAGTGTGCTTCTTTTTCATTGAGTGGACTTTGCTGAGTGATTGTAAGAAAATGTCTAGTGTAAATGTGTAAAACTGGTGCAAGTTTCTGTTAAAATGACAGAAAGATGAAAGAGTGTGTTTTCTACAGGTGGTTTATTAAGCCCACTCACTAGTTTGCAGGACAAAACGAAAATTAAGTTTTTAGTTTCAGTGATTCTGCGACATCGGAAAGTGCTTTATGAGTTGCTGGTTTTCATTCGATTGCAGTTTTTCCCTAAACCCCCTCATTAGGTCAAGGGCGCAGTGCCGTACACTCACAGGGGATTAAGTTAAATCGTAACGGGATGTCAAGGCTGCAAGATTTGTTTTTTTCTTTCAAGTCAAATATAGTAATGCCAAAACACTTGTGAGAAAGAGCTTTGCTGATTGAGGGACAAGTTTCTTTCTTATTATACACAACTTATTATCTCCCTCCCGTTGACGTAATGAAGAAGAAGGCTCTGTTCTCTCACTAGTTGTGTTTGTTCTCGAGTTGTATGTGATTGTCCATGGCAGGGGGCCTATTTTTAGTGTGGACGCTGACAGAGCGCTCTTCTTATTCTTGTATAATATAATGACTTGTTTTTTTCCCCCTTTTCCTTTTGTTATCACTGTTCCCATGAAAAAAACCTGAAAAAATTATACTTGAGTACACTGCCTACTCAAACTTGCTAAATTGAGATGCTGTTGACTGGTATAAAGTCAAAAGCCAGGCAGCTTTTAACACTGTCAAATGGGGTGGTTTTGTTGTGCTAGATGCGAAACATTAAAATGCAACGCATTGTTAGCTTGTAGCTTTTTAAGCCCTATGCAGTTTTTATGAGCCACTCTGGTTTACAAAACCAGGTAAGTCACGAGCGACCTCATCTAGAAACATTTTGTGTTTGCTTAGCTGCAAAAACACAACACACTTTTGCACGCAATCTCGCTTGCCCATGCTTTTAGCTGTCAGAGCAGATGGTGTGAATCAAGACGAATGTGTGCGAGTCTGACCTTTCTTTTCTTTTTCTTTTCCAGCCAAACAGAAGCTTGAGGATCGGTTAGCAGCAGCAGCGAGGGAGAAACTGGCCCAGGCTTCCAAAGAGTCCAAAGAGAGGCAGCTTCAGGCTGAGCGCAAGAGGAAAGCTGCCCTCTTCCTGCAGACTCTGCGAGGGCCAGAGGCTGAGGTCAAGCGCACTGAGGAAACTACTGCTGCACCTGAGGTTTGTTTCTGTGTGTGTGCGTTTCTCAGCATTGACCATCTAACCACCATATATACCTAGAATGTTTCCTAAAGGAATTGTTCGCTCAGAAATGTTACTCACAGTGAAGTGGTTCTAAACTTTTATGAATTTCTTACTTCTGTTGAACACAAAATAATATATTCTGAAGAATGTTGGCTTCAGTGTATCTTGTGTTAAACAGAAGGAAGAAGCTCAAACAGGTTTGGACGAATAAACGATGACCGACTAAAATAAAGGATAAATAAAAATGCAAATTTGCTGTCTGCTAGCAGATGACACGTTTAGAGTAAAACAAATAGAAAAATGTTGTTTTAAAAATGCTTATTTTGCAGTGCTGTAAATACAGTTTTTTGACTTAAAATCTCCCACCTCTCTAGTTCAGCATTTAGCATTTTCTCATAGTATTTCTTGCTTCAGGATCAAATAGCTTTTGCTGGTAAGTTTTTTAAAATACTACCAAATGATCCACATATGCGATAAAATAAACATGCATAGGTAAATCAAATGAATCCAATATATAGTACATTTGTGTAGATTTGTACTCTTATCGTTAAATAGAGTTTGTTTTAAAAGTTGACCTAACATATATCCTGCTAATATAGTCTGACTTTTTGATGCCTACAAAATTTCAAACAATCCCCTAGTTATAATATTAGGTTTAAACATAGCTTTAATGGCTATATTTTTTAATAAAATCAAGTCTTATCCATGCAATGTTTTCATTTATTGTTAAAGGGTAGTTCACCTAAAATGAAACTACTGTTATCTTTTACACACACTTGTTCCAAACAAGGTTGAGTTTTTTAGTTCTTTTGAATACAGTAGAAGATCTTTTAGAATGTTGAAAACTTGTAACCATTGACTTGCATATTTTTTGTTTTTCCGACTAAGGATGTCATTGCTAACAGGTTTCCAGCATTCTTCAAAATATCTTCTTTTGTATCAGCACAAAAAGAGTCAACGGAGAGTAAATGATGAAAGAATTGTCATGTTTTTAGGTTAACTATCCTTTTAAAACAGAGAAGATGATGTTTTGAAGAATGTTGAAAACTTGAAACAATTGACTTCCATAATATTTGTTTTTCCAGCTGTGGATATCAGTGCTTACAGGTTTCCAGCATTCTTCAAAATACCTTGTTTTGTATCAGACCAAAACAGCCAAGGCAGAATAAATAATGAAAGATTTTTTTTGGTGAACTATCCCTTTAAATGAAATGAATGAAAATCAATATTTGCTATATTTATGTCAAGTTAGTAAAGGTTATCTGGTGTTTTTCAGTGGATGCTTTGTCATTGCCTGTGTGCCGCCTGTTCTGCCAGTACAGTATTTGTCTGTTGGTACATCTGTGCTTCATTTGAATACAAGTCCAGAACAGAGGTCGGACAAATTAAAATTTCTGGCTGTCGATTGGCACATTCATAGTTCTTCCCCCTTTTGTTTTGTTGGTATTAATTAGGTTGATTCATTGATGCTTGCGATGTTTGTTTGATTAAAACCAGTTCATTTAGATTAGAGATTGCTACCGTGTTCCCAACAGTGCACACTTTTTATACCTTCTTTTATCTTTCCCCTCTATTTGTAGTCCCAGAGTCTCTACCGATGAGCTGATGAGTTGATTCAGGTGTGTTTCATTAGGAAGAGTTGATAAATGTGTGCTGTTGGTGTGCCTCCTGGAACTGGCCTGGGAAAATTCATTTACATGCAAAAGAATAATAATAATAATAAAAAATCAGTGCAATGAATGTGTGTATTTAGGGCTGAGAAATAAAATGATAATTATCACAGGATAATTTTCCCTCTGTAACATGATAACAGTTGTTTGATAAATGTTCAGGGTATGTTCATGCTTCAGAGTGGAATTAATCGTGCTGCTGGTTTGCGGCTCACAGACTGTTTTTCTGTCCATGCAAATCACGCCCAACAGCAGCACAGGGCGAGTTCAGATTTATTTGCATGGGGAAAACTCACGACTCGATCACACGGGCAGCTCCAGAGAGAAGTGCTTGATTTTAGCAAAGAGCAGAAATGTATTGGTTATTCAGCATTTTCAGCGACACTGACGAACAGGAGAAACAGTGCTATGAACTATCCACACATTTACCATGGTTTGACAGAAGTACCAGTAACTAGTTTATGGTATTGTGGCAGTTTTGGGAGAATTACATATGGGTTTTGTTATAATATTAATGTAGACCTATCTGTTGTCTTTTATTTCATGTACACTATTAAGTAAACCTTACTGGTACCAAGTTGGACTCCCTTTTGCCTTCAGAACTGCTTTAATCCTTCAAGGCATATATTTAACAAGTTACTGGAACTATTACTCAGAGATTTTGGTCCATATTGACATGATAGCATCACGCAGTTGCTGCAGCTTTGTTGCCTGCACATCCATGCCACCCAGTTCCACCACATCCCAAAGGTGCTGTATTGGATTGATATCTGGTGATTGGTGGTTATTTTAGATACTGTTGCCTTTCTATCAGCTCAAACCAATCTGGCCATTCTCCTCTAAACTCCGGCATCAAGCAGGCATTTGCACCCACAGAACTGCCACTCACTGGATTTTTTTTTTTTTTTTCAGACCATTTTCTGTAAACCCTAAAGATGGTTGTGTGTTAAAATTCCAGTAAATCATTAGTTTCTGAAATACTTAGAGCAGCCCGTCTGGCACCAACAACCATGCCATGTTCAAAGTCACCTAAATCCCCTTTCTTCCCCATTCTGATGCTCAATTTGAACTGCAGCAGATTGTCTTTATCACTTCTACATGCCTAAATACATTAAGTTGCTGACGTGATTGGCTGATTAGAAATTAGCGTTTTACAAGCATTTGCACAGGTGTATCTAATAAAGTGGCCGAGGATTGTATATTAGGTATATCTAGCTTTTGTGGGGCTGGACTTTTTGTCTGATGGATTTTAAATGGCTGGTTGATGGATAAAGATGTGCATGAATTAATAGATTTTAATAAGTACTGCTATATTCCATTAGACAATAGGCATTGTCAGTTTTAATTTCATGGTGACTTTAACCACAAGACAACTTTCTTGCTATTTATGGTGCTTACACTTAAAAAAAATAGAGCAGGCAGCTATTTTATCCCTCTCCCCGTATTCATTGCATTGCTTGACATGCTTGCCCTGACAAAAAATTCAGCGTTTTTTGCTCTGCGGTTCAGAATCATGCACCGTGTCGTCACGGCTGTAAATTTGAGTATTTTTATTTCATCAGTCAGCATCATGTCAGGACTTCTGCTCAATAACCCTGCTGTGGTTTCCTCAAGGTTTGTTTAGTTAAGTCCCCCATAAAGAAAAGCAACACAGTTTATCGATTCGTCAAGAGTCTTGAGGAAATGCTCATTACCGCAAAACGATTTCTGACAACCATTTTTCAGCTTTCTCTGGGGGTGTTTGTGTGTTGACAGACCAGATGAGATAAAATGGGAATATATGGATGTTATTTAATTCTTTCCCAATTGTATTTTTGTGAACTTGCAGAAGGAGGAGTTCCTAATTAGTTGTGCTGACAAAGCCGGTGTCTCATAGGAAAAACGCCTATTTGTACTTGTGAGTTTGTTTGTGTGGGTTTATTTTGTGTCAGCATTTATAGGCATTGAAGCAGTCCCTGATGATTGTTTTTCACTGAAGCTTTGACTGATGTCAGAATGCTCTTGTTAAATTCACAAATTTGTCAAAATTGTTTTGGAAAAAGTGGCGATTGCTGTTTCTTCAAATGCCTTATAAGATGAGCTGAAACAATACAGTTCTTGAGGTTTTTTTTTCTTTTTTCGGGCAGAACACTTAAATTTTTTATGTTCAATCTACTTATATTTTTAAAAAACTAGTAAGTTAACTTCATTTCTTCATGTTTTCCCAACACAAATTGGTCGTGGTAATTGATTTCTAATCTAATATTTTATATATATATTTATATATTTAGTATATTTTTTTAACAATTAAGTTTTAAAATGTAATTAAATAGAAATAAATAATTTCAATAATTTTGAATAACATTTCACTGACTTTTTACTGTATTTTTAATTAAATAATGCAGGCTTAGTTAACCAAAAAATGAAATTATTGAGATGTTTTGGAGACTTAGTTGTTTTATGTTCAATCCACTTAAATTTGTTATTTAAGTAACTTAATAGTTTTTGTTGGGACAGCCTGAAGGAATTGTATGGAACCCTGCATTTTTTTTACAGTGCAAGAAACATCTTTGAACAGCAGTGTGCACAAGAACACATTTTTGATGACAAACAGTCTGAGAAGTTTATAAAGGCAAAGAGTATCCATATGCAAATGTTAAATATATATAAAATGTCTAAAAAATATATACTCCTATTTGTTTTCTTCTGTGAAACATATAATAGTATGATTTGAAGAACTCCATAAACATAATTACACCACTTTTATGTTGCGCGGCTCCACAAAACTAGCCAGACCTGTAACAATAAATAAAATTAAATTAATTGGGACAGCTCTAAAATTAATGAGGGGCCCGGAGTCTCCTCCCCCGTTTAAATGAAAACAACAACAAAGTCGACTGACCAAAAAAATAACTTAAGTCAATTTTATTTGACATTTAACTTTAATCTTAATCTTGCAGAGGTAAAGTCAAAATAATAAAACAAAAAAGTCAACAACTAACTACGTTTTAAACTAACCACAAAACATGACAAAACTTAATAAAATAAAAACGGCACCCTCCTCATCACATGTGTCTTCGTACATTAATCTAAATAATAGTCAACACTCAGCGTTAAATTCAGCAATATTGCTGAGCAAATACAACATAAGTTTTCACAAATAAACAAAACAAGACGGGAAAGAGGAGACTCTCCGAAAGATCTTCCAGTCCAGTTTCAATGGACTTCACCAACACATCTGCAAGCTTCCACGTGTCGACACCTGATTCACTGCACCTGTGCACTCATAATGAAACCTGTTAGATAGACACTGATAGAGGCGGAGAC